AATCTTTCTGCTTTGAAGCGTTGACAGTGCCTTCTCCAGTGAGCGTCTCACTTATATTTAATGTCTACTGTTACTTTTACCTTCAGTAAGGTTTCAATTTTATTTACAGGAAGAAGGAGTTACAAACGAAGAGACTGTGCTTGAGCGTTGCAAGGTAATCCTAACAGTCTGTGATATGTCTGTACTGCATTTAGGCTTCGGAATCAGTATCACCAAATCGACTTGTAAGACTTACTTACCTTACATTAGATTGGTTCTAATCACAGCGTCAAAGTGGACGACTGTATGCCGAGCAAAACCCAAGTGGATCCATTGTAAGTGATTGTGCAAGCAGCGGGGATAAATGGAAGCCTTCATCAACGTCATCACCTTCAGCAGGTGAGGTGAACCACGGAACGCTGACAACAACAATCCCCTCAAATGTTCCAGCGGGGGATTTGAACTCGGCAACATGCTTATTTATTCCCATTAAAGCCTCTGATCCAACAAGTCCTCGAGCGGCAAACACTTCTGGTGCGTCTTCGTTTTATTACTTCCTATCATCACAGAGATGCAATACATCAAGGTAGAAGGAACTATGAGCGTGGAACCTACAAACTCTTTAGAAAGCGATCGCAATTTGCGTGAGTGGTGCTTGCTTCTTTTGCCTTTTTGCTTATCCGTGCTGCTTTGTCCTGTGGTATAATTCAAATAAGCCCTACGGCCCATGCGTCATCTTTTACTTGGTAATTCTCTGGTCGAGACACGTTTTCTGAAATTTTTGCCCGAAATAGTAACATGTTAAAATGGTTAAGTTCTACAGATCCTTCGTTTATCTGCCCTGTCAGTGGATATCATTGCACACTGTGGGGATCTGCCCCCCTCTCTCTCTCTCTCTCTCTCTCTCTCTCTCTCTCTCTCCCTGACAGCACCATAGTGCTTCCTTGGGGCGCAGGCTTGCCGTTTCGACCGATAGAAGTGTTCGAGGATCGATAAGCCAGCTACTTCAAATATTTTTTTCTGTAGCGGTGGTCTTCTTTCCGTTGCTAGTGATATTCCGTCGCATCATACCACTAGCTGTGTCCTAGTCGTCCTGGATCGTCTGGCTGAGACTGTCCTCCCGAAAGTGATTAGCCAGACTGGAATGAGGCCAGCTATTGCGCGCGTGTAAGTGGTCCGCGCGAAATAACCGCTTACGTGGACAATGTGGCTGTCCTTAACGTAGGTCGAGACCCACAATCACGTGACCTCATGTGTGGCG